TTGGGCAAAGAGTGATAAACAAGTTATTTCTCTTCTCAAAATCAATACCCTGTCAAGCGACTCGTATCCCAACTTATCTATCTCGCACGTACTAAACCCTCGCGAGTTTACTCGCGCGACGCACTTTCATATAGTTTATACCACGTTTCTCTGTCTGTATTCTTGTATATGTATGGTAATGTTGGCAGCTGGGTGTTAAGTATTAAAGGTCCTCCTGCAATGGAATAAACATTGTTCTTCTTGTTACCAGTATCAGTCAAGGCCATCCAGTACAGCGTCATCCGCTGGCCAGTCTCAAAGGCGCAGTTCTACCCCCCATCCTCCAGCACCTACCGCTCAGAGGTCCGGAAGCGCTGGAAGGACCAATGGAGCGAGGAACCAAGTGACAAGGTCCATCGGTACACAGACAAGGTGCGGTTTTTGTTCTCACAGCCAGGATGAAAGTCGTTTAAATTGCTTTGGAAAAATTCCGTAATTATTTTAACTGATGGGTAAATGTTTTTGTGTCATTGCTTTGCAGTCTTGAGAGGGCAGCTAGCGCAGGCGCAGTAAGGGAGAAACCACCCGCTTCAGATAACAGATCACGTGACAGGGCAGGTAATAAATTTACGTCTGTAATAGTTAAGAAAGAACCTCATCTATATTTTAGTTTTGCTGATATTTCAAAAGTAAGGTGAGTTTCTTTTATTTTGAAATGGATTGAACAAACTCTTTCGCACCATCTTGTAAGAGACGTGATGTATTTATCTTTTCTTTTGTCTCGTTACTTTTCAGGCTCGTCTCTTAGCAACCACAGCGTAACCTACAGTTCACGCAGTACCTCTTGTCAGCCCACTCGCATGTATCACAGCGAAGGCATCCGAAGTGCAGCGAAGCTAAACCGACCGCCGAGCAAGGTCTATGTGTGCCAAGAAGAACGAGATCGGGCCCAATCGGCAGGCCTCCAGCGCGCAAAGTCTCCGTCGAGATTCGACGGAACTCCTGTTGAACTGCCTGGGTTTATGAAATCTAACTACTTCCTTCATCATGAAGATTTGAGCATGGGACAGAAACAGTACATCTGGGGGGTGGCACGGATTTACTCCGTCACACAACTTATGAGTTTGAAACAGAGACAGTACCAAAATCTGCTGGATTACGAGTTCAGCAGAAGAATTCAGAATAAGGAATTGAAAGAGCACGAGAGAGTTAAAGAGTGGAAGGATTACCAGCGCTACTCCAGGTTTATAAAGAGATATGAACAGGTGATATGTATTACACGATAGTCTCGTTTTTAAGTTGTGCGTAATGCAATCCATATTTAACATCACCGTCTCAGTAATCGTCCCCTCCTAATAGATTCTTTGATTCTTCTAGTCATCATCTGCGATCCCTTCTCTCCTCGTGGAGAATGGGGCCATTAATCCTCCTCCTCTAAGTCAATCTGTCTCTGGCCGCGACCTCTGCGATTTTTCGAGTACCGTTCTACAAAATGAAACAGTTGTTGTGGGCCTTCCTGTGGCGTATGTATGTATAGTTTTCAAAACAAAGAGATATTGTCAGTGGGTGTCCTGTGATATAAGTATAGTCACTGTACATAGAGTCTTGTTGTGTTCTCCACAGAGAATTCCTCGGAACAAGTTGAACTCGGCACGGTCTCCATGTGAAGAAGCTTCTCATGTTCACAAACACATGATCAAAGGTTGGACAACAGATCCGCACGCAAACGAGGCTTACCGACCCTCCAGTAGAACAAGCTACAGCGCCAAACAGCGGCAAGTACATCCTGAGTACCACTCGGACAGTAGAGACGATAATGGAGAGCAGGAATCCACTGACAATGAAACCGAGGAATACAGGCTCAGGTTGATTATTTTGCCGGGTGAGAAAGAGGAGAGTGGAACCGAGGGCGATTATGCGGCAGGTTGGTTACGTCAGTTTTTCATTTCCAGACCAACGTACCTTAGGAAAAATGAAATGAATAATGGTTTTTTTGTCTAAATGTAGAATCTGGGGAAATCGAACAGGCAAATTCATCGTGCGTCGACGAAGATGGCAATCAGAATGTACAAAATGAAAACGATGATGTTAAAGAATCTCTTGAGCAAACAGGTAATACGAGTTGAGGATCAAACTGAGATGACAAGGTAACAATGAGCTAAAATAAGAGCCTGGTGAGATCACCTAAAAACCGGTAATATTGAGGTAAAACTTCACGAAAAGTAAAACTCGTTTTTAATAAGGCAAAGGTTTGCTACTAAGGACAGTAAATGCGAGAAGCAATTTTTGGGATTTCCAGCCTTTTCCTTTTCACTTAGACATTTGTTTTTTTATTGCAGAGGACGAAAAAGCAGAAAAAGCAGCATATGAAGATGACAACTACCTTTGACAAGGAACTGGAAGAGTAGATTCTTCACATAGTTTGTATTGGTGGAGCCAACTGAAATGACAATCTAACAAGGAAAGTTACGTAAATCATCTGTACCTGTCAGTCGTTCAACAAAATTGGAACTCATTGATACATGCAGATCTGAACTGAAAAGTAAGGTTTGACTTCCACTGTGGCTGCATTGCAGGAATCTGCGGGCAATAAACGGCAGTCTTCTAGCTATATTAGACGTTTTAACTCTTTTTGATTTCTTGTTTAGAGTCTATCATACAGTTTCTTAGTACACTTTGTCCGCGATTAAGCAGGGGCGTTGCCAAGTCACAAGCTGACGAACTACTTGATAACTTCATGTATGATTCATGAAATGACTGAACCTTAACGTTCTCTCTTTATCTCTTTGTTGTAAAGAAATGTCTTTAAAGTCCTAAGATAAATTTAAGGCAAATATTTGAGAAGCATACAAAACATGATCAGTTTTGGACGTTGACTTTGAACAAAGTTCTCATAACTGTACTCAAGTTAATTTTATGGTAAGTCGTGAGGAGAATTTATGTTTTGATTTTGAGACTGTAAGGGTTAGCGAGTACTTTTGAAAACTGAGTTTTGGGTGTGATCCCAGAAGCAAGTGGGTTTTAGGTTTTTACTTAGTTAAAAGGTTACTACAGAAGTATTATTTTTGTTAATAAAATACCAGAGAGTGCAATATATTATAAATCACCTGATCGACAATTCCTCATCAAAATTGTCAGGAAAAAACTGAGGGTATTTACCACGATTGGAAGTAAATAGCACTCGTTGTTGACCAACGATTAGGTGAATAATTACCGTAGTGTATAGCAAACCAATGGGATGTTGAGGGTGGCGAGTAAAGATTATGCTCTCAAATGCAGGGTTAAAAATATATGTGGTCATATGTTCATGGGTGACTTGACAGCGAGCGAGGATTGGTTTTGTATTTATCATTAAAAGAGTGAAAATGCTTAAAGTTGTGAAGTGTCTTTGTTTTTGGTTTTGAATGGCTGGCTTAAATAAGTTTGCACACTGCTAAAACAAAGAAGCAAGAATGTGAAATAGCTCTTTCGTTTACACTGTTGAACTCTTGCGTTCATCGTCTAATAATTTCTTTTAGGCCCTGACGACCCTGACATTAATGCTCAGTCAGCGTACATATTAGGCTTGCCTATTTTCTCCCTTTGTCTCTTTTTACGAACACCACACAGGAAAGTGACAATTTTAAGGTTACTTCAAACCTTCGTGGGAGTCCTCCAGAAAAAATTTCGTACGCGCGCTGTTTTCAAGGAAACCGCCACAAACTATATATCAACAGAAAAGTTATAAAATGTAGAATTCGATAAAATTATGTTTTGTTTTGGATTTTGCTTTCCAAAGGCGGCAGAGGCCGTCAACTCCAAAATGACCGACTGACGTTC